GGTAAGAGCCTTGATCTTGTGAATGGATCAAAGGCATTGTAGGCGATCGTGAATTCCAAGATCAGCCTGTGATCCCGATCAACTCCGCCCATTTTTACCGGTATATAAGGCCGGTAATTTCTGTGATAATCATTCGTCTATTCTTCTGTAATAAAGCTGTTCTACTATTCGTCTCCAGCGCTCGAGGACACAACATTAGCATTTAGCGGCCGTAATGGGCGCCTGTGGAAAACGGGCGGAGTCCTACAGACATCGCCAATTTTTCATCGCGATGATGGTCATCTATCATTATGTTCCCGGATGGGTGTCCACCATACACATTTCTCTGGCTCTTGTCCGTCCAGTGTACTCAAAACTGGCTAAAATGCTCGCCTTGCCTTGGACAAGGTCTTCAGATTGCCCCGTGAACACAGGACTCTGCTTCCAAAGGCTTATTCTACGACTCTAGGTGGGAACTCGAGGGTTATTAGCAAAATAAACTCACATCATTATGGAACGGAACTATAGCGAAGGCGTCGTCGTAGACGAGCTTGTAGATACACCCCACTGCGTCCAGGTGTCGATGCGGGATCAGCGTTGACTTCATGAACTCGATTAGCATCCTCAGATCCGCGGTGGTTGTGTGAATCTGAGCAATAAATATTAATCCGTGGATAAGTTGGAAGAAAGTATAGGTGTCTTGAATGTTCTCTTCGCCTGAACGTCTTTTGCATGAGCACGATAAAGTCTATTGTAGCAGATTGGTTCCACGGTCAGTACTGCTGTAGAACCGGAGAACTTGAGAATTCGCAAAGAACTGCATACGTCGTAATCAGTCGGGCGATGTCAAGAAGGGCGGAATACGCCTGCTCCAGGGTGCCCTTCTCGGATAATAGTGCTGAGCTAGTAAGCGACTCAGCAAGAAAACAGCTAATGGTAGAAATAGGTGGGTGGGCTCATTGCACACTCTTGACACCGACGCGCCTGACTGCAGTGATATCCGGTCCCCAGACTCACTGACGAGACCAGGAGGAATAATCTACACTGGAACTTACTTTGACATGATAATCGGTTGCCTGTCCGTAGTAGAGAACATAGGTGACGTAGATGCCAAAGACACGCTCCTAAATATCTAGTATTTGTAGCCGAAAGCAAATTTGGTTCCATGCTCGGGATCACTAGCTCCATTGGTGCATGTTAAAAAGGCTAGTGATTCCATGGGTGCAAAATCAATACACATTTATACGTTCACCCGATATATGGGCACAGGGTACAGCATCGTGATGTGTGATATGACGGTGTCAGTACGACCGCCCTCCCCAGCACCTACCTACCGATTTCTCACTTTTTCCAGTTTTCACTTGTAAATTTTCCTTCGAGGGGGGCGGGGAGAAGATAGGGCACATCATTGCGTTGGATTTTAGTAGAGTCCGTACGACCCCCTTCCCTTTTTTTAGGGGTTGGTACGACCCCCCCCTCTCTGCCTCTGTCCCTCCTCATCGAATCGAGCCGTCGAGCGGAGGGCAGAGTATACACTACACATGAAACAGGAAAATCACGAAAAGTCAACCACCACTCCCAACCACTCCTAGAAGGCCAAAAAGTGAATATGACTCCCCCACCCTCCCAACAATGCCCAACAGTGAGCAAGTACGACCCCTTCCTTGTTGTTCTGTGAAAAAAAAATCAACTATCAAAATGAATTTCCTCAGCTCCAAATACGACTTCCCCTCTCCTGGCGGCCAAATACGGCCCTCCCCTGTTGGGGATTCCCCAACAACGATGTGCCCTTGGGGGGGAGGGGGGAAGTGTGGAGGGGATATAGTACACATGAAACAGGAAAAATCACGAAAAGTCAACAACCGAGGAAAAAATTTTTCCCAACGCGGCAAATTTCTCTCGAAGCCACTTACGACCCCCTCTTTCTCCCAGGTGACTAGAACGACTCCACTCCCCAGGGGCCAAGTACGCCCCCCCCATATGTTTCACACAACGATGCTGTACCCTGTATGGGCGTGCTGCTGCCAAGAAGGAGCCTGAGATTGAAGTTGATGAAAACTGCCCCATGTCGAGAACATCGAACGGTCTTTCATGTTTGTAGTGGTCCGAGCTTCACCTCTACTACCCCAATGTAAAAGTGGTTCTTCAGCACTTCATTGAAGCTATATGACAGGAGAGTTGAGCAGAGTCATGTCCGTATGCCGCACTTCATATCGCGTTTATAGAGAGGGCGTGGTCGATGGCATATTGCTGTTCTGCGACGACAGTCGTTATGTTTTTTCCAACACAAAACAGGATGACAGTTCGCGCAAACGGAAATATTTCACAAGGAACGCATTATACGTCGTGAGGAAATAATGCACGCAGCCACACCCTCCCCACCTTTGAGGTATGCAGGCATGTAGGTGCAGTGAAGACGGATCATTCAAAAATCTTACCGCAATACTCCTCGGCGTTTTTGCATTTCCAGGACTTGTATAAGCAAAGGCTGAACGTAGATAACATTCGGCAAACTGAAACGTGATATAATCCTGGAAAACGCGTAGTACGATTCAGGAGATCTATGTTGCGGGCACCCTCAATCTAGCAATTTCCTCACTAGTAGATTCAAGTTAGGCAGCACTTTCATATTAAATCACTTAGGTCCTGGTGCGAATTTCGCACCCCCGACACTGCGCCGCAACATGGATCTATTGGACGACAGTCGCTAGTCCATCATAGTTCCTACAGATGAAGGCATACAAGCATGAGAGCGTGAGGAGCTTTCGTGATTGCCCATGGGGACCAGTCAGCTTAAAGGAGGCGAACCCCCTTTCCCCTCCCCCTTGAGCTCTTTTTTATCTCTCTCGCGTCTCTTCTCCTGTAGTCAGAAATGTAAAGGAATAACTTACTCATAATTCTCGTGGTTCTACGATGATATCATGACAACTAAATATGCAGTCCCACACCACTTTCTTTGTACCATTTTTGATACCTCCAGCACCTTAGATCTGGGCGAAGGCGACCCAGGGTGACAGCGAAACTGAGGCTACCCTACATTCACTCTTTAGCTGCAGCATATAACGTCACAA